AATTTTGGCAAGGTAGGAGTCATCTTCAGCTGAGAGAGTTTCATTTTTCTAACAGGGTGTTTGGCCTTTGGAATGGGTTGCCTTTAGATGTTGCAGAGGCAATAAATTTAAGTGAGTTTAAGAAAAAGCTTGATAAATATATAAATGAAAAGGGCTGGCTTTAATTTTTTTTTTATTTAGTTATATATTTATTTATTATTATTTTTTAATCATTTTAATTTAGATTAGAAGATAGAATAGCCGAGATGGACCAATAGGTCCCATGTTGTCCCAAAACATTATGTTATATTCATATAAACAACTTAATTAAATTAATTCTGAAATTTTATGAGAAATTTAAAAAATTTGTGATTAGTACTGATGACATCATATAAATGACACGTTATAATCAAACTGAAAAATGGATATATTTGAATGTTTTGGGTAAGTTTGTGATATTTTAACAGTTTGAATTTGCCACTTACTAAAAGTCCAATTTCTGTAAAACTTTATCACAAATGTTTAGTGATAATAATGATCTTACAAAGAGTAAAATGTATAAAAATGCAAAAATAAGAAATTTTTTATTTATTAAGTTTAACTACACAAGCAGAAGGTAGTGTATAAGAACCAACAGGTGACACATGGTAATTTGGGTTAATAAGCTCACCATTCAACATATTACCCTCTCACTTCACTTACAGAACTAATAAAATACCCAACAGAAACCATTTTCTGAGGTTAATAACCTGGAAAAAATAAACAATTATTTCACGGTAAACATATCTTTGAAATTTTCAAATCTTTCAGTACTGGGCATACTGGAAAAAATATTAGTTCATCTCATGGTCCTGATAAAGTCATGAAATCTCAATATTTATAAAAAAAAATGAATCAAATAACTGGCTTAACTAAAGTAAAAAATAAAATGTATTTAAACTTCATGTCAGCCAGCCTCAGGTCTTATACCTCATTAGACCTGAGACTGTTGCAGTTTCTGCTGGCGGGCACATTTAATGGTAAGTGGATGGGTGCGAATGGCAGGGAAGTGCAAGTCTAATCCTACATGGTAATTTGATTATGGATCATGGAATTTTCTTTTGTAAAGTTTTTATGAGCCTTATCTTTAAATATAAGAAGAGAACCTTTACTAAGAATAAACCAGTAACTATGTTTTAATGGGGTAACATGGTTTAATGGCTTCATGCTTTGGACTCGTATTCAGCTGGTTGTGATTTGAGGATGGTCCACATCAAGCTGAGCAAGATGTTTTACTCCATTTGTTCCAGTCTACCCACTGGGGGGTAACCTGCAGTGGACTGGCATCCCATATAAAGGAAATGGTTCATCATTCTCATCTGCTTGTGCCACTTGAAACCAGAGTTGGAAAGAACTGACCCTATATGCCTTGCAAAGATTTAATTAACTTTAACTACATTTTGAGAGTAACTATACATACCTGTGAATACTGACATTCACATGTAGACTAACACTAACACCATAAATAATGTAGACCATTAAACCAATCCAGTAACACCATAAACGATGTAGACTGTTAAACCTATCCACTAACACCATAAACGATGTGGACTATTAACCCTATGTCAGAATTAAATATATATATATTCTTTTTGTCAACTGTCAAAATAAAAAGGCTTTTAATTATATTTCTTAAAAGTGTAAATATATACTATGTTGTTGGGCTTAGAATTCTTCTATAGTTGGTGCCTGACTTGTTAGCGATAAATTCAACAATAAATAAACATCACATACTTTACTTGTTTTCAGAATAATGTATATATACGTATATATACATATATTCAGAACAAGTTAATGTATGTACAATAAATTCTTCAACACTATAGATATTATGGGAATATCATAGACAAAATACATGTAGTTCTCTCCTTCTTGTCAAAAGTCTACTTAGGCTTATTCAATTACTTAAGAATTTCAGCTCACAAGCCGAACTATATTCTCTATTACTATTGCACTAGTATTCTATATGTGTGATTCACTTACAATTGTGGTGTGGGTTACCGTAATAATTTGGTCTTCTTTCTTTTGAAGATCCTCTGTTGCTTTTGTCAAAGTGCACTCAGGCTGATTCAATTACTTTAGAACCATGCATTGACGGAATAAATTATTTGTCTTATCTCCATCTCTACTGTTAGTCTTACTCTAACATATTAATCGTTAGGCCTATCACTTCTATGGTAGTTAACTTCCTGCCAAAATTTCCCTTTTCTAACTTTACTTTCATCTTTGTTAGCTGTCTGCTGCTTCCCACTCATCTCATGCTATTTATATCTTTATCACCTAATTGTCTGTCCGCCTTCTGATTCTATATTCTCGACGTCCATGTATTGCACACAACGTTCAATAGTCTCAACATCAATGAATTATTAACAAAACCTCCCACAATCATCTGCCCTTAACTCTTATTATAAGAAAACTAAACAATAATAAAATATTCACTCATAAAAACAAATCAATCAATAACATCTACACTAAACAGTCTTTTATATCATGACAACCTATCTTCTAACACCATACAATGTAGACCATTAAACTAAACACTAACACCATAAACAAACAATGTAGACCATTAACCCTATCCACTGACGCCATAAACAATGTAGACCGTTAACCCTATCCCCCACAACCATGGGCATCTGCAGGGGTGAGGGGGCAAGAGAGTCTCTCCCCCTGGAACTTGAGAAACATAATTCTTTTTGCATTCATTCAGCATATGTATATGAATTTTTTTTATTAAATTCACAGTTTCATACTTCTTCCCCCCCCAGTAAACTTTGCCTTTCCCTGGAAAATGTTCTGCAGACACCCATCCTCAACTACAGTTGTAGCTTGTTTCTTTTGTACTAATCTCCCTATACACATTCCTATCAGTGTTAATGGTATTGATCTATATACACTTCATGTAGCTGATAGATATAGGGATATTACATTTTTCATTAGCTTTCAGTTCACTTGATCAGAAAAAATTTCCCCTATCAGAGACTTGAAAACTTTGTAAAATAACATCTTCATTTTCTATTTAGAAAGACTAAGTAATAGTCCTACTGGTTCCAACTTTTCTTAATTGGGGGTTGGGGGTCAATGAGACATTTAATGGGGCCAAATCTAGAATTATAATGATGGATGTTATTAGCAATGACATTTATTACTAACAGCTAAAACCTGGAAACATGTTCAACAGTGATCATAAAATTGTAATGTATTAATAACCTCATTAATTTTTTTACATCTACAGTTTCATTAATGCTTTACAACAAAAGTTTTATTTTTAAGATTTTGGTCCCCCAACACGATATATAATTTAATCTTAAAAATAAAGAACGTGAATACCAGTAAACAGAGAATCAACAGCTTTGCATCCTTACCTAACATGTGCCATTTCAACAGGATTGGTTGAAATATCTTCAAACATACTTCCCGTCGCTGATAATACTCCACTGATAAAATTGCGTGAAAACTAGCTGTTTTCCTGTGAAAACTCTCCCCTCTCTCGAGTGCAAGTCTTATCCGAACTCTTTACTCTGCAGGTCTTGACAAAATTCGTCTTCCTCTGAAACCATTTCATACACTGTACTTTTTAAATTGCTCAATATATTTCTATCTGACAACCAAAGACACATCCTCCTTCTTCTAAAAGCACATGTCTATTTATCACTTCCCACCATTTTTTGTTTGTTTGTTTCCATAAATACAGGTTTTTTTACCCATTTTTACAACAACTCCATAAATTAGTAAACATCATTCTCCCTAATTATTTTCTTTTGAGGCACACTGTCAAAAGTTTTACTGCAAGTTAAAGTTAAGATAGGCATCAAGTGGACATTCCTTTAAGTCAGTAATAATAAGAAAATCCTTTTATTAAAACCATGCTGAGAATCATTAAATGCTAAACTTCCTACGAGCTTCATCACATTTCAAAATTTCAGTATACTTAAGAAAACCTGTGCTAAAACATCAGAGATTTTACCTTACCCACTACCAAGATTCTAAGGCATACACCTATTTGATTCAGTAACCAGTACTTATAGGACTCTGCTTTTTATACAATTTCCCTTACAGACATAACTTTGTAATGTTGTTTTTATTATTAATCCATGCAAATTCTTTGTAGGTTACCTACTTGTAGAATAACCTGTCTAATAATCTAGTGTTTGCTGATACTATAACTTTAAATTCATTCTGAAAAGGTTATCAGATAATTACAAGTGTGAATGAGGAGTTCATTTAACTCTGGATGTTTTTTTTGTGTTTGTGGTGGATATAGATGTCATTTTAAGGGGGTGATTACTATTCCACCACTTACACTATTCTTATAACACCAGCACACACAAAAAAAAGTGTCAGATGGTCATTTGGATCATCAAGGTCAGCCTTGAAACTAATTTGTTGTTGTTCTTGTTTAGAGGAGTGTTCTCAAATATTTTCTCTGAGAAACATCAGTTTCATGATAAAGTCAACAAATCCTAAACAATTCAATAAAGCTATTATGGCTTAAAAATGTGGTCATAATTTTCTTATGGTTTTTCCTTATATGCTGTAGTTTAATCTTAGGAGCAAATTGGATGATGTATAGATCCCTTGAAAGTTGAGGTCCAATAATTTCATACCAGTTGTGATTTTTAGGTTATAAGCACCAAAAATGATCTAACTGTAACTATATTTTTTCAGTAAAGCTATAACAGAAAGGCTTGATCTTGTCCCACTACATACATAGGACTTTCACTTTTCTTAAATAATAACTCTATGACAAATAACAGATGTTAAGTCCATCTAAAATTCCTTTCTCTGATCCATTTTAAGACACAAATGTACATTTAAAATTGTTGGAAAGTTATTTTATCAAACACCCCGAACATGCAGTTATTAGTATTAATAGCAATATAAAATTTGTGGTCTAGATTTGCTTTTATAAGTTTTCTCACTTAACCATATCAAACAAGTTAAAAAAAAAAAAAAAGTACAAAAGTAGATCCACATAATTAGCTATAGGGCAACTTAGTAAAATAAAAAAAATATTACCTGCCTAGCTGTTTAGCCTATAATTTATAAATATAGGCTAAATATTCGTTTTATACTGCTTAAGTTGTTTTTTTAGATTCAACACTTAGTTTTACTAAGACTGTTTAGTACTAATACTACTAATAATACTTCTAGTTCTATTACGTACTAGTACTAGTAATATTAATATTAGCTATCTGGGATAAGTAACAAATTATCAGGTAATTTAATAATAATAATAATAAATTATGAAAACAGGTTAAGATAGAGCCAGAGTTTTGCTCTAGCCTGTAGGAAAACAATGATTTCATAATTCACACCGTTGTAATATTTCTTCTATGTTGTTAGTATAACTTGTTGATAATGTTAATTGTAATTCACTATTCAGTTATTGTTAACGTTGTCAGTGCTATACTATTACAAATTACTATAGTAAGCTTATAGTTATATTTATAACACTATTAACAAGTCTTAGTCTTACCAATTCGTACACCTTACAGTCGCAAATTAGCAAAATATTGTGCTGAAACGGAGTGATAATATCTTAAATCGTTAAAAAACGTATGATTAAAATTCAAATTAAATAATTCATACTGAGGCAAAAATAATTAAATACGCCGACAAAACTCACATTAATACCAGAAATAAACGACCCAACTTAAATAACTCGCATTGTTCTCATATTTTACAGGATGTACGTGCAACGTAAAGTTACTACTATGAATATCAGATATTTAACGCATGATGATAAGATCACGCCTCAGCTTAGCTAGATTCAAACATCCCACGCACGGATCATTCAAGTTAGTGTTAACCAATCAAAATTTTTAAACCGCCAAAGTCATCCTACTTATTTGTCTCTATATTTGATTATTTTTTTTTAATATAATTTCATTATTTTTATCTAGATCTATAAGATTACTTTTCATCCTTTGAAAAATTATTACTATTATTTAATAATAGCCTAATTACCTTTTATTTATGTTTCTTCCTAGGATTTCATTACCATACAACGCAACATAATATTGGCCGTAACATAAATACAAGAATGTGTTAATGTCATTTATTTTTATTTTTGTAATATTCTAGTGTTTGCTCCAAATTTATTCTTCGTTCTTTGTATATGCGGGTTTCTCATAAGACGTAGTCGAGAAAGACGTTAAGTTTATTTCGTTCTAGCTGTCTTTGATCTGTTGTTTTCTAGTGTATAGCATCTGTACTGCCCGGGGAAATATTGTTGTAGTACCGCACATTGTATAAAAGTCATCGACAGCAGAATTCCCCAACATCGTTCAGGTCTCAAATGTGTTGTACTGAGAGTGACTAATCACGCGGTATCACTACTTGCTCTAATTAAATACGACGGGCCATTCAAAAATGCAACGATACTGATCAGCGATGGAACTGTCATATCATATTCGGTTCAACACTGACTCTAAAGATAGACGTTACGTAAAAGAAAAACGCTTTTAGAAGAATTGGAATTTTCACAATGTTCGTAGATAAATGCAATCAAATAAAATCACTGACACGACACTTAAAAATACAAACAAACTAACTTTACTTAGCGATGTTTCCAGCAACTGCTCCGCGCCGGGTTTAATTGCATCTTCTAAGGATGAATAGTTACTCGAAATGTTGCTATAGATTAGATGCATTTTACTGTTCTTATAAACTATTTATTCACCTATATTTTAATATTTTTAACTAGCAGAGACCCACAAAACATTTGCGGTCAAATTAATACCTTTATTGCAATTGCACTTCTTTAAATACAGGATTTATACAAAAGAATTTTAATCGCAAACTCCGAAATCTGTGAGTCCACTTGTCTTAGGCCTAACCTTAGTTAAGTCTTTATGAAGTACGGCCTATATTTGATAGATATAAATTAACACTGTAACTTGTGTAGGTTTTTTGTTTTGATTTAGTTACGACTAAAACTTTACCGTACTTAATACTGTCGGTAAAGAAAAATTTATAATGTTATTGTACGACCTAACGTTATGTTACGACAGCGGGGGTCACGTGACCCTAGTAACACGTCATGGACTTCTAGAAGGATCCTATCCCTTCCTGAAGTCTCGAGAGGCTACTAGATATACGGTAGTCTTGTATATATAAGCCGCCAAGTAGTGACGGCAACAATATATGTGTAATTGACAGTTGAGTCGAGCACGTTGTGAATTATAGCGTTTGTTATAGCGCCACTGTGGAAATTAAGTGTATTGCAAAGTTTTATTCAGAAAGAATAAACCAGTTTTATTTAAGAAAGGACTTGTATCGTTAAAGTTTCATCGGAAAGAAATTATACGGGAGATTAACTAACGACCAGAGACGTAACAGTTAGACATTTTTTAGAAACTTAGATACGACTTCAATATGTTGTTGTACAAAGTGTTTACTTGACTATCTTTACATCTGCCTTTTGTTAACATCTGTTGAAATGAAGTGCACACACATGCGCATTTTCAGGACAGAAAAAGTTAATTTTATTATAATACATTAATTTTCACTGCTTTCTCTTTGGCTTTAAGGAAATCTTAAGAAACTATTATTATTTGTCATTAAAAAGTGTTATATGTGGCATTACCTGGTGGTTCGAACGCTCGACTCGCAATTTGCGGATCAAGTTCCATCATTGAACGTTAATCTCGCCTATTCATTGGTAAAGAGTAGTCCAAGAGTTGGCGGTGAGTGGTGCTGACTAGTTGCTTTTCATCTAGTCTATGACTTCAAAATTAGGGACGACAAGCACAGAAAACTCTAGAGTAGTTTTTGAGCAAATTTCAATAAAACAAAAAAAACGTGTTAAGTATTAAAATATATTACAAATAATAGTATAAAGTTAAGTACAATTGTGAATGAGACGGCTTCTTGTGAGTGCTTTTTAATTCTACTAAATATAAAGTATATATATATATATATAACGAGTTATCTATATGTTTACAACAGCCAAATACAAAGATACAAATGATAATAATTCTTTCCTATCTTGTAGTAAGACACTGAAAGCTACACTAGTGACATCTAGTGGCAATTGTGTATATTTATACTTTGTTCTTGTAACATAACAAATCAGTCTCAGTAGCGACTTGCTGAGGGAAGTATATTGAATACAATATTATATAGTAACATAGGTTGAAAGTACGATTACATTACAATTCGGGTAGTAGTATCGATAAAGAAAGTAGACTGTGGCAAGACATCTTTACAAATTACAGAGTAAGTAAATTTATAAATGTATATTTAAAGATATGTGCGTTTGCAGAATATTAATATGTGTATTATGTGAAAAAACAACAACAAAACGTAGCTTTATTGAAATATCATGATAAAATCATAAATTGAAAGATTAAGTTAGGCTAAACCAGATGATAAATTTGTATGTATTTGAACAGTTAATTCTTTTAAGCAACACTATTAATGTTTTAATTTGAGAAGTATAGTGTATCGTAGTATTATTTTAAAAGAATAGGTACTGGCTCTGCTTAGTGTACGTGTATTAATTTATTATAACTTATTACGTGATGTGGATATTTGTATGAAAATTGTATCCAGGGTTACGTATGCCAACGCGCCCTACGTAGCTGCAGTGTTTATTTAATGTTAATTAGTATATTAATATTATCATTAAAAATAAAATAATTTTCTCTTTGCATGTACGTTAATATTCACTTGTGTATAGCTATAAAGGCCAATTAAATTTAAAGCACACGTGTACACGTAATAATGCTTGTAAGTTATACCATAACTTATAGTTATAACTTACACTGACTAGTTCATTAGTATATTATAAAGTCTACTGAAACTATCATGTCCGTACAATCGGCACCAAATATGGGCTTGATATCCTTACAGAAATAGAAATCAAAGTAAAAATGAATATAAATTAAACATTTCACAAAGCATCAAGAATTTAAATATTACACTATGTAGTGAGAGTAACGTGTTTTTATTGGCTTGTATCCAACTCATGTTTCAGTCAGCTGCCTTTACAAATATATAGAGTAGTCTTTGAACCTAAAGGTCGCTGTACTAAACAGTAAACTTTTAAAAATTTTGCAAGATTTAAAGCCATTATAACTTGCCTACATTTACATATCCTGCACAAATTATAGTGCTTGACTGAGAGATGAAGACCATTACACTACAGTAACTTGTACAGGGCCATTATGTAAAAATATTTAATACAGACAATAATCTTAAATCTTATTAACTGAAAATAAATTCTCTGTTACCTGAAATGTTAAAAATTAGTTTTTAATTGGCTAAAGGGGTTCCTACATCTCTTTGTGGCATTTGGTTGAATCCACAGGTTATGAGGATTTTGATACCAATCTATTAATTGTATTATGTAATCATATTCTACAATGTCAAACTAGTTTGTTTGTTGTTTTTTTTTATTTATTAGAGTTTGAATACTGAAAATAATAATCCATGTATCAAATCTTTGGTTGCCTGAATGAATACACAGTCACTTTGTCTTGTGATATTGCTGTTACTTATGCAACTAAGTTATCTTTCCCTTTGAGACACAGAAAAACAAATGCTAGAAGCTAGAGTTAAGTGTTATTAACAATATTTAGACTCAATGAATACTAAAGCCAGTTAAAAACTGATGAAACTAATGTTACCTCCACAGTTAATCAGATTGGCGTCAGGACTGACATCAGATAAACTGGATTTCTGTTTCTAGACTATGGATATTAATAGTTGTCATGATTACTAGTCTATATGATAAACTATAGTGTTCATGTAGGCTAATAATCATAACAACAACTGGATATCTGTTTTCATTGTCAATCAAGCTTCAGACTGCAAAAAAAAATTAATGAATTTAGTTTTTTACACTGAATATTAACTGACAGAAATTCAAGAGATGATCTATAAGTTATAAACTATTATTACTTCAGTTCTGCTAACACTGCTGTCAAAACTATATTTTAACAAGCTAGTATTCTCTTTCACAGTCATGTTTGCCAGTGGTGAGTATTTAACTACCCATTTTTATCAACTTGCAGTTGTATACAACTGAAATTTCTACTCTATTCGCTTCTATAAACTATCTACCACAGGGAAAAGCTTCTTCCATAGTGTATTAATACGGTGATCAAATATTATCTTTATCTTCATTACACGTTGGTGAATTAAAGATACCAAAACATAACCTTGTCTAAATGATAAAAATAGTATTTCACAGCATACTTATGAATTTAATTGGACTCCTAGCTTTATCTGAAAGTAGCTTGAATTTTTGAAAGGGAATAACCCTGTGTCATATAGAAAAGTTCATTCAATCACACTATTATAAGCAATTAATTTTTGCAATTAAATGAACACTAATTTCAAATAGTAATGGTGCTATTAACATAGTTGAGGATATGGTAACTTTGAATCAGTACTGAGATCACTTTCTGAAGCAGGAAGTATAAGGATCAGATTACAGCTGTATAGCATACTGCATTGAAGTCATCCATACACATGTAGGTTACTTGTAATACATTTTGTAAAACTTGCATGCTGTGAGTTCATTTGTCACAAATAAATTGTGGAATCATGTGCCACAAATATGTAATAATAAAGTTGTTTATTCTGTTTTTAAACAGTAAACACATTATAAAGATATATAAACAAATTAATAATAATACTTGCAAGTTGATTTTATTGAAAATTATTTGCATATTGTTTACATGACATGACTCAAGAAATAATTATATAAATTTGAATTATGAAGCATTAGTTTAAGGAACTAAATAACTTACATAAAAATTCATTAATAACTCAGAAAAAAACATTATAATATATCCTAGGTTACCAAGATTGTATTCAACCACGAACCTTACTACACATTATATTTAGTTGTATGCAACTTAAAAAAAAGTGCACATTTTAATGTCAATATTTAATGTATTTGTGTGTGTCTTATTCTTCTATTAATTCATGATAAGTGAAGTAAACAGTGGCATTTTTGTTACAATCAACATAAGCTGTTCTCGTATCACCCTGAAATTGCATTTTTGAAAGCACAACATTTGAAAGAAACAAATAATTTTACTGTTTTCTCTACATTCTTTTAGTACTTTCCTGTGTTGAATCAACAAAACACACCAGTAATAAACAATAAGTTTTCTATAATGCTGGAAGAGTTATTATGCTTAATTTTACATTCACATTATTGCATAAACACCTGTAATTTTCACACCAGTTTTACACTTTGCACTAAGATCTGTTTTTAATATTCAGTCTTGATTTTTTGTAGTAAACATTTTTTCAAGTGGTTTGCTGTGATGAAGCACACCTGTCTTTTGTTCACACACCAGTTTTACACTTTGCACTAAGATCTGTTTTTAATATTCAATCTTAATTTTTGTAGTAAACATTTTTTCAAGTGGTTTGCTGTGATGAAGCACATCTGTCTTTTGTTCACAGTCGCCTGTTATCGAGAAGTTCTGTTTTAAAAAAATCCTGTGAATTATGTTTAAAAACTTCAATAGGCCTTCGATAATCTGGGGCAGGGGGGTATTACATTTAAACCAGGGAGTCCTTCAGTGTTGTAACGTATGCCTGTTGTGTTAAGAATGTGGAAAGTAAAAAGTAGAATACGAGTTTCAGTTTATCATTTTTAGTTACATTTCTGCCTATACAATTGTTTTTTGGTAACTGTACATTATATATTAAACAATCTACTGGCAAGCTAGAAAGTAGATTTATAAAGTTTTTTTTTTATGTCTAATATTATTTTCCTCTGAAAAAAGCATGCAAGTTATGATAACATGTCTTCCCCACCTTACTAAATTGTGAACTAATCCAGGTGAATATATCTAGCACCATCAAAGAAAATATATTAATGACTAACGAACAATTAATGGAATAATACTTAATTAACTCCAATATGTAATTATTGGAAAGGAAATATATTTTTTATTACAATCCATTATTTAATAGCAAATGTAATTTCATTACTTTTAAGTTCTGTAAGGCTTAGTAATAGTATTAGTTATTTATGCTAACTAACATAAAATACCTGTACTTCACTCAGTTTATCGATAGAGTTCCACCATTATTTCTAAGTGCTTCTATAGCTACTCCAACAAAGCCCGTTAGGACACTCGCCTGTGATACCCGAGCACGTGTTCCACGCTTTATCCCCCCCCATCTTTTGAGAACACGGGCAAGAAACACGAAATTCGATACTAGATTCATCGAATTCAGCGTCCCTGACAACGTACTCTTAGACCTCACCATGCTTTGGTGACTTTCCAAGCTCGTTTTATGACTCTTTGGTAAGGGCTACGTAATATAGATAAGGACTACCTCGAGTCCATCTGCCAAGTGTGATCCTGATAGAGGAGTTCGTGGACAATCACACAGCGTGAATTAATACAAGATGGTGAACAACAATCTTCAAAGTAACACTAAACAGCTGTGCAAGATAATAAGCACATTTAATTCAATGGAATTAGATACACGTCTTACAAGCCGGATAGTCAAAGTCGGAATGTAAAATCAGGTCTGATGTTATTACATTGTCAAACATAAGAAGGTAGAGAGAACTCCAGCCATGTTCAAGTGTGATTATCTTGATGAACTTTGGCCTAGTTAAACAATAAGGCTTGGATTTGTTTGTTTCAGATAATTGCGCAAAGCTACACAACTATGCAGTCCCTACTTTTCGACTGATAGACTAAAGAGAAAGTAGCTAGTCAACACAAATAATGGAATCAACACAACCTACCGCTAACTAATGGGCTACTATAACTGAATAATGGGCCCCCCAGTGGCACAGCGGTATGTCTGCGGACTTACAACGGTAGAATCCGGGTTTCGATACCCGTGGTGGGCAGAGCACAGATAGCCCATTGTGTAGCTTTGTGCTTAATTACAAACAAACAAACTGAATAATGGAATCAACACAACCTACCGCTAACTGATGGTCTACTATAACTGAATAATGAAATTTGACGCACAATTTGAGGGGCACAATTTTGCGGGAACGGGATGCGAACCGTGGACTATCGGTTTCACAGTACAGCACGCTAACCACTAGGCTACACCCAGCACATATATCTTAGGAAGACAGTTGTTGTTAGCGCTCACAGTTCGATATTTCAATTGCCCATTACACGGCATATTGTGAGTAGACATCATCATTTTGATGATGATGGTTGTCGGTTGTAATCGAGTACGACATCCCATACTTCATTTCTAGTTACTTCGCCTCATTTCGGAGTCTGTGAGCCATGAAGATGGCTACATAATGATATATTTGCTCGGAACTTTCTTCTACTCTGGACAATGTAAGTCAGTGGGAGGTTTAGGCTGCTTATTGCAAAGCTTCTTTTAGGTAGATGTGTACGAGAATGGCCACCAGCTTGCATCATTCTGTGCCTTTTGATCTCAACTTGCAGCAACTATGCCACATTTCTTAAGACTATCTTACTCTTTCCCTAGTAGGAGATCTAGAACTCGAAGAACACTTAGTTGAAGATTTAATTTCTACATTACGTATAGTATTCAGCTGGTACAAGTCCGAGCTAAAGTTACCAACTATTAGCATTACAATCGGTAGGATGAATAAATCTCTCAAACTTATAGTATTTTGGCACTTGTGTACCAGTTTAACGTTGAATATTATTTATGATTTTAAATCTCTAAAACTTTTGAATTATTAAACACTTGAAGTTTTCTTGAAGCAGCATTTTTATCGGTTCATTTAGAATCGCTCAATAAAACAACAAAGATGTTTGGAAGAGCACTATTGGTTTTGAATGAATGAAAAATAAATAATTAATGAAGCCAACATTCCCAAATGCATCATGTCTCCACCACGTAATTCCAACCTGGTCGATATTGATACCAGCAAATCAGACAGACTGTGTATTACTGCTTGGGACCTACAAGAAACTATCTTTGTGCCAAATCCCATGTAAAGTGGTCGAAATATGGCCGAGTAATTAATCAAAACCTCATACAATTATGCTTTTTGTGAGCTCTGACTCCGCCCCCCCCCTAAAAAGACTAAAAATTAACAAATTCAACTTTTCTGTATGTGAACGTGTTGGGTGCATGGAAATACATATTTGTACCACTTTTCATCTTGATTGCTTTATATATGACCGCACAGGGGCACAAAGTATAAAGGCCTAAATAAAAAAATTAAAAAGTCCTCTGAGCGTATTGGACCAAAGTATAATCCTATCCAGTTTCAAGTGAATCCGCCGAGAAATGAAGGAATGGTGGTCGATTGAAATATGCTTGGAAGAAGAAGAAACAGTGGAGAACAGTAGGTCTTTCTGGGGAGACAGAACTAACTAAGTCCAGTGGAAAACAGTATATCTTTCTGGGGAGACACAACTAACTAAGTCCAGTAGAAAACAGTACGTATTTCTGGGGAGACACAACTAACTAAGTCCAGTGGAGAACAGTATGTCTTTCTGGGGAGACACAACTAACTAAGTCCAGTGGAGAACAGTATGTCTTTCTGGGGAGACAGAACTAGCTAAGTCCAGTGGAGAACAGTAGGTCTTTCTGGGGAGACACAACTAACTAAGTCCAGTGGAGAACAGTACGTATTTCTGGGGAGACACAACTAAGTCCAGTGGAGAACAGTATGTCTTTCTGGGGGACACAACTAACTAAGTCCAGTGGAAAACAGTACGTATTTCTGGGGGACACAACTAACTAAGTCCAGTTCAAAGTCTGTTTCTAATAAAAAG